TTCCCAAGTGTGCTACAGCATAAGTCTGGTTGGGCCTCTCTGTTTTCCTCATTGCCAGCTCAGTATTTGGCTTTCCCTGAATTAGTGACATCTTTTCTACGTGTAGCTTCAGAATGCCGTTGCTGTTGACTCCTTCCCCATTCATATATTTCCGTATTTGTGTTTTAATCACTTTCTTTGTGGTTTCAGTGGGTTGGAGCCAAATACGTTTGGTCTGACCTTGTGACCCCAAACACCTAGGTACACTTTTACAGTCACAGATTATTCAGGGTTAACAGAGGCCAGCCCAAAATGACCTTGGACTGAGGAAAGGGCAACTCAGCCCAAGATTTGGAAGGAGGAGGGAGCCCAGATTGGAGACACTGACCAGTTCTGGGTTTGGGGAAAGTAGATCAAGCAGAGTGGAGCCAAGGACAACAGAGGAACAAGCAAAGAAGTGGCAAAGAGGAGCACGGTGCAGGAAAGAGAAGGCTAGTTGGTTAAGACAGGATTGGGCACTAGATGCAGTCTGAAGGGTCAGGGCTTAGGGCAGAAACTTGGCTACAGGAACTCCCACCCAATGCATAGGAAAAGTTTCATGCGACTGTCGGCGTACCCACTTGCCTGACAGATACCTTCAATCCTGAATCCCATGACCTTCCCAAGAGTGTCTCTGTGAAAGATGGAGGTCTGTCTGCATTCCTCAGATCTACAGGGATCCATAGCGCAGTGAGTGGGGCGTGGACAATGGTTCAGGGCATCGGGGGCCCAGCTCAGAGGACTTGCCCTGCAGGGGCAGGGTCTTAGGAAAGTGGTCCAACATGTCTTCCCTCGTTTCAGGAATGTGTGAGGCCTGATGGGCAGGAGATGGATCTGGCTCCAACAGCATGATCAGGACAGTTGCATTTGCTATCTGAGCTCAGGTGATGGCTTCAGTGTCTTGGAAGTTATGGGACTTGAGCATCTACTGGGTTAGAGTCAACTCTGCATTGACAGCACATAAGCTTGCCTGTTTCCCCACCCACCTCATTTCTATAACTCAAATCCCCCAATGGGATGTCCATTTAATACTGTCTGGATTGCATTAGGGTGAAAAGGGCATCGGGCTGTTATTGTTCACACAAATGTTTAAAAAGAAACCTTGGGGCCCAATGGTATACAACTATAATTCCAGCATTCTGGGAGGCTGAGGCAGGATTGCATATTCTACTCCAGCCCAATCAACTTAGCAATTCAAGATCCTGTCTCAAAATACAAAAAATAAGCCAGGCATGGTGGTGCACACCTGTAATCCCAGCACTCGGAGGCCGAGGCAGGAGGATCACTGAGAGAGGCCTGTCTGGGCTACATAGTGAGTTCAGAGCCAGTCTGAACGACAAAGGAAGTCCCTGCCTCAAAAAACAAACAAATATTTTAAAAACAGAAAGGTTAAGATGCAGCTCGGTGTGAAGGGTGAGTTACTCCCCCAAAAAAGAAAAAACCTTTTGGGGGAGCCTCTGTGTATGTGTGGTGCTGGGGATCGAACCCAGACTCTTGCACATGCTAAGGGAGTCTCTTTGGAGTCATGTGAAAACGTGAACCCTACCCTGGAACCAAGGGCTAAGACCGTGGACTTCCATATTCCTGTGCAAGAAATGACAACTAGGCTGGGTTGTGATGGTTTATGTCTCTAATCCTAGCAATGGGAAGGCTGAGGCAGGAAGATCCCAGGGAGTTCGAGGCCAGCCTGAACTACATAGCAAAACCCTGTCTCTCTCCCTCTCTCCCTCTCTCTCTCTCTCTGTACTAGGGATTGATCTTGGGTCCTTGCACTTGCTAGGCAGGCAGTGGCACCACTGAGCTAAATCCCCAGCCCAGCAAGACCCTGTCAAAAAAAAAGCAAAAACAAAAAAAACTTACAACTAAGTTGTAAATACTAGTTTATTTTTTTCCAGTCCAATGATCGTTCACTGCCAGTGAGCCTCAGATTAGAAGAGTCTGGTCTACTAAAGGACAGAGGAAGCAAACTAGGCCACCACCATATCCATCTGTCACCAAAGCCCCAAAGGGCACCCGTCTCAGATAATGGCAAATCCTCCCCGTTTGGCAGTCATCTTCCACCCAGGGTGGGAGAATAGGGAACATGTGGCCACTGTCCAGCAAAAATGTGCAGCTCTCTTTTCCTCCAAAGTTATTACCATAGTCTTAGATATAAAAGTCCCTCAAACACTGACTTCGGTGTCCAGAGCTGGTGACAGGGCTTGGTATAGCCAGGGACAGTATCCTTCATCTGTCTTTCCACTGCTGAGGCCATATTTTCTCAGAGCCTGCTGTGCCTGAGTATTAGTATATTTCTGCTATGTGCCCTGAGAAACTCACTTCCCCTCTCTGCGCCTCTACTTCCTCATTTTTTAAGTGGCGATAGACACCAGCACAGGGCTCACAGGAGAAAATTTCCAGTATCTAGAGGGACTGTTGGTGAACATGTGGGACCCTATCAGGATCCTGCTAGTCAGGGTGGGCCCAGACTTATTTCTTCCCCTCAGAGGAAGAAGCTGAGGCTCAGCCCAGTCACCTGCCCAGGCCAGCCCTCAAACCTCCATTTCCAAAGCCTTCAGAGGTCTGGGCAGGCCCAAAGAAATCCCCACATGGCAGAGGCCTGGGGAAAGCTGCTAGTGCATGTGCAGACAGGCCTGTCCAGGCCTCTTGTCCCTGTGAAGCACTCAAAAAGAGCCTGTAAGCTGGGCTGTCTCTGCTGGCTTCCTGGGGCTGTCCAGGTTCAGGGCAAGCCCAGCCTCTGGTTAAACGCCCGACGTCTCTGCATCACGACTTTTCCGAGGGCAGAAGCATAGGCTGTGGCCAACCCTGTCGCCATGTGCAAAGGACTCAGGCCTGGGTGGGGCCAGAGCCGGCTGGAGCCCTGACCTCCTTTCCTGCCACTTCCTCCACTGGGGGAGGCCTGGCCCTTGGCCGCCGCAAGGCCTTCTCACCTGTGTGGATCCGCTGGTGGTGGAAGAGCGCGGGGCGCTCACGGAAGGCACGGCCGCACTGCGTGCAGGCGAAGGGCTTCTCACCTGTGTGGATGCGACGGTGGCTGAGCAGCACAGCACCCTTGGCGAAGGCCTTGCCACAGTCTGCACAGCGGAAGGGCCGCTCACCCGTATGCAGCAGCCGGTGCTGTGTGAGGTTGGAGCTGTGGCTAAAGGCGCGGCCGCACTGAGCACAGGCGAAGGGCTTCTCACCTGTATGCACACGCTGGTGTTTGAAGAGCGAGGAGCCCTGGCTGAAGGCAGCGCCGCAGAGCGCGCAGGCGAAGGGCTTCTCACCCGTGTGCGTGCGCTCATGCTGAATCAGGTGCGAGTTGCGGCAGAAACGGCGGCCGCAGCGAGCACATGCGTAGGGCCGACCTCCCGCATGGATCTTGCGATGCTGGCTGAGGTTTGAACCGTGGCTGAAGGCCTTGCCACAGTCACCACAGCGGAAGGCCTTCTCGGCCGTGTGGATTCTCTGGTGGCGCACGAGCGAGGAGCTGTGGCGGAAGGCCTTGCCACAGGCTGGGCAGGCGTAAGGTGTCTCGCCGCTGTGTATGCGAAGGTGCTGCGTCAGGTGTGAGGTCTGGCTGAAGGCCTTGCCACACTGCACGCACGCGTAGGGCCGTTCACCAGTGTGTGTGCGCAGGTGCTTCAGTAGGTCGGAGCTCTTCACAAACACCTTGCTGCAGGCCGTGCACTCGAAGGGCTTCTCCCCTGGGAGGGGCCCTGGCTCCCCCAGCTCCTCCCCTAACCCTAACCCCCAGGGTGCACCATGATCCCCTGGGTGTCGGTCGAGGGAAGATGGAGGCACCGATGACCGATCCTCTGGGTCCTTGTCCCTGGGCCCGACACCCCTCTGTGGGGAGCTCAGCCGCAGCCCCGAACCCAGCAGGAGCCTTTCCCAATAGATCACTGAAACTCCCGTGGGTTTCCTCTCTCGGGATGGTGTGGTGTCTGGCGGGACACTAGCAAGAGGGCCAGGGCAGGTGCCAGAGAAGGCCCCTGGCATTGTGGCTTCTCTGGAAGTGCTTCTGTGCTCAGCAACACAATGGGAACCTAAGGGCAGAAATATGTGGTTGCCTTAGGTGACCAGAACAGGACCAGTGGGCAGCCTGGGACCCGGAGACTGGATGTGGAGCATGGGAGAAAAGCAGAGGCCTTGGGGGGTGGGGAGCCTGAGCACAAGTGTGGCACTCCTGACTGCAGCCGACCTCGCCATGTGGGGTACAGAAAGCTGAGGCGGACTCTTCCCATAGCCCGGGCTGTGATCTTCATCACTGTGACCAAATAGTTGGGCAACACAGGAAAAAGGGGTTACTTTGGCTCAGTTTCACTCCACAGCCACTTGGCTTTATTTGTGGGCCTGGGGAAAGAGGAAGCTGTTCACCTCTGAAAGTTGATACCAAGAAGACAGGTCATGGTGTGATCACACCTGATATTTTTGGTACCAGGAATCGAACTCAGGACCTTGTACTTGCCAGGCAGGCACAGTGCCACTGAGCTAAATCTCCAGCCCCTCAGAAGCCTTTGGAACTGGAGCTTAATGGATGATTCTGGTGTGAACTCAGCTATGACAGCTGATAGGAATATAAACAGTACTTTTGTTTGTGTTTTTGAGACAAGGTCTTACTATGTAGTTTAGGCCGGCCTTAAACTTAGCAATCCTCCTGCTTTAGCCTCTCAAATGCTGGGATTATAGGCATGTACCACCACATCTGGCCTGTTTTTTTTTTTTTTTTTTTTTTTTTTTTTTTTTTGGTACTGGGGATGAACTCAGGACCTTGTGCTTGGGAGGCAAGTGGCAGAACCACTGAGCTAAATCCCTGGCCCGTTTTTGTTTTCTTGAGACAAGGTCTCACTATGTAAGCCAGTTCTGGCTGGCCTTGAACTATGTAGCTCCCGCTGGCCTTCAATTCAAGGTGACCTTCTTGCCTGAGTCTCCTGAGTGCTGTGACTACAGACTTGTGCCACCACACATGGCCAGTACAGACAATTCTGTTGGGAATTGGACCAGAGGCCTCTCATGGTGCATTCTGGCAAAGAATGTCTCTACATTTTGTCCATGTACCAAGACTTCACAGAAAGCAAGGGTTTAAAAGGTGGAAGACTTACTAATCTGGTGGTGGAAATTTTAAGGCAGTACAACGTTCAGGCTGTTGCATGGGTAATTCTGGCATACACTGATTTACAATGAGACTCATTAGGAAGACAGAGCAGAAAAAAAATTTAAATGGATACACCTTAAGACTATACTCTTGCATGAAATAAACTGGACACATGTTTAACTACCACATTGTTTCTCTGGTATGAGAAACCAAGAGTGGAAATAAGGAACAAAATATATAATAGATACTGGGAAATGGGAAGAAAATGTTCAAATGAGAATGGGAATAAGGGAGGGGGAATGGGTAAGGAAAGAAGGGACAAGGGAAAAAGAGACTAGAGGGAAAAAATGGAAACAAAACTTTTGTAAATAAGGAGAAGAAGCGGGTAGGGGAATATGAAAAAAAGAAGCAAGATATATCACGGACAGGTACAAATTCCCTATGATGAATGTTACCATTGTGTATATCTGAAATGTGCCAATATAATAACACTGGAAAAAAATGAAAAAAAAAAAAATTCAAATGTACCCCCCAACCAAAACAACACACACACACAACACACACACCAAACAAACAAATGGAATGTATTAATGGATGTAGCAAACTGGTGAGTTATTTCAGTTCAGAAGCCTCCGCCCCAGAGAGGATAATTGGCAGGTAGTAATCTTGGAGAGGGGTCAACTGAGCATGGAACTCAGAACAGCTTTGGGGTGGCTCCATCTAGCAACTCTAACCCTCAGGGTGAGGTCATGATAGGGGGAGTTTAAGATAGGGAGAGGTCAAGCGGCCGAGTTTGAACTGGCAGGATGCACACAGAGTGTTGTAGGCTGAACAACTTGGGTTCTAGCCTCACAGCCAGAAACCAGCCTGAACTTCAGTGGAACTAAAGATGCTGGCTTGCTGGGATTATCCACTACCCCTTCTGTGAATCTACAGCTGGCTTGCTGGAATTAATCTACAAAGATCTGGGTTGTGTTTGACCACTGTGTCTATCAGCAAGAGTAGACATGCCTGAAGTGGACCTTTTGTTTTCTTTTTTTTTTCTTTTTTTCTTTTGGCAGAACTGGGGATTGAACTCAGGACCTTGCACTTGCAAGGCAGGCAGCAGCAGCACTGAGCTTAACTCCCCAACCCTTTTTTTTTTTAGTTTTTGAGACAGGGTTTCACTATGTAGTTGAGACTGACCTGGAACTCACTATGTAGCCCAGGTTGGTCTCGAACTCACAGCGATCCTCCTGCCTCAGCCCCCCACAATGCTGGGATTACAGGCGTGCACCACCACACCCGGGTTCCCTCCTGTCTTCTCCACCAGTTTCCCAAAATTTGGGTAATTTTCCTTTGTTTCCAGCCTTGCTTCTAATCTCTTCCTCTTCTTCTATTTCTCTATTTTCCCCTCAGTGCCTTTTAAATTTTCTCCCAAGGGTAAAATCACCATATTGAGGCACATATATTACACAGTTTTCTGGTTTGTTTTATATTTTGTTATATAACCACAAATAAAGCTCATACAGTTAAAGGTGGCAAATTAATAGTTATAACAGAGCTGGGGATTTAGCTCAGTGGTGCTGCGACCTGCCTCGCAAGTACAAGGTCTCGAGTTCAATCCCTGGTACCAAAACACAAACAAACAAACCTCCAAAATAGTTACCACAATCTTATTTAAAATGTTTATTTTATTTATTTATTTTTGGTACTGGGGATGGAACTTTGGACCTTGCACTTGTGAGGCAGGCTGTGGAACCACTGAGTTAAATCCCTAGCCCTTAATTTAATTTTAAAATGTTATTTTCTAGGCTATGTTTCATTCTATTGCTATTGCTGATTGTACTGCTTTAGCCAAGGTGACATAATTGTTCTAAACAGTTGTTCTTCCTGGTACGCAAAGACAGATTGATCCCAAACAATACAACAGGCCAGTGCCAAAGAATCAGGGGATAGGCCAAATAGGCAGCAACTTCTCATTCCCCGTAAATTGAAGAGGTAGGATCATGCAACAGATTCAAAACGCAAAAGCCAACCACACCTGGAAGACATCTCTAAGAAGTAGTCATTTCCTAAGGGTTCTCAATACTAGCAGTAAAGCTACCTGCCATAAGCAATTTACCAGCATCAACCCTGGAATTAAGCTAGAAGAAAGAAAAAAGAAAGAAAGGAAGAGAGAGAGAGAGAGAGAGAGAGAGAGAGAGAGAAAGGAAGAAAGAAAGAAAGCAAGCGGGGCGGGGAGAGAAAGAGAAGATAATTAAGCAAGATGCAACCCCAGACTTTCAGCTCACCAAAGGCAAACTCAGCGGGTAATGAAGTGGAACAATTCCAAAGCCTCCTACCTGGACTCTCTGAAGTGGTAACAGTGGAAGTAACAAAGCAGATGGATGAGGTTCTACAAAAAATCAAGTCAGACATAATTCCTCAGATAACTAGAGATGGTAAACATAATGAAAGACATAGTGACTCTAGTGCAGATACAAATTTTTTTAAATAGAGAAGCTTAGGAAAGTGATGGAAATCATGAACACTCAATATAGGAAAGAAATGGAATCCATGAAACAGATTCAACAGATATCAAGATTAAAAATTCCATCGAAAGTATATCCAGTAAAACGAGCCAATGTGAGGACAGAATATCAGATATAGAAGACAGGATAGCAGTTAGTGTTCATGAAAAGAAAGATTTCTTAAAATAGCAAGGGACTAGGGCCAGGGATATAACAGCAGTACAGCACCTGCCTGTCAAACATGAGACCCTGCAATTGATTCCTGGTACACATGCATGCACACACACACACACACACACACACACACAAGCCAATGTGAGGACAGAATATCAGATATAGAAGACAGGATAGCAGTTAGTGTTCATGAAAAGAAAGATTTCTTAAAATAGCAAGGGACTAGGGCCAGGGATATAACAGCAGTACAGCACCTGCCTGTCAAACATGAGACCCTGCAATTGATTCCTGGTACACATGCATGCACACACACACACACACACACACACACACACACACACACAGCAAGGGACCATGAAAAATCAATCCAGCAGGCACTAGATGATGCGAAGAATAACATAAGCTTGACTGGAATCAATGTAAAAGCAAGAGACAGCACAAAAGACATAAAAAAAATGTTCATAAAAGCAATAGCAGAAAACTTACCAAGCAGAGAAAAACAATTTGACATACCAATAGGTGAGGCATATCGAACTCTAATTAGTCATGATCAAAAGGAATGGATAGGCCGGGGATTTAGCTCAGTGGTTCCAGCACCTGCCTTGCAAATGCAAGAACCCAAATTCGATCCCTGGTACAAAAAATAAAAAAGAATGGATAATCCCAATGATAAATGTAACTGTATTGTTTGCTTTAAATGTACCAATAAACAATGCGGGGGTGAATGGAGGACTGGGGATTTAGCTTAGTGGTTCAGCCACCTGCCTCACAAGCACAGGGACTTGATTTCAATCCCCGGTACCAAAATAAATAAATAAAAATGAATGGATACCATGGCATATAATAGTCAAGATTCCTAAAATTCAACACAACAGAATATTAAAAGTTGTTAGAGAAAATAAATAAATCACCTATAAAGGAAAGCCCATCAAAATCCCAGCAAACTTCTCAACCCAAACCCTCAAGTCCAGGAGAGTTTGAAGTATAACAAGCCCTGAAAGAAAACAACCTTTAACCCAGATTGATGTACCCACAAAACTATCTTGCAGAATTGACGGGAAAATAAGATACTTTCATGACAAAGAACACCTGAAGAAATTCATGACCACCAAACCAGCACTCCAAAATGTTATAAAGGGCATTCTAGAAAGAGACAATGAGGACAACTCCATGAACCACACAGAATGAATCCACCAAGCAAGGCAAGTAATTAATCAGAGGAGGAAAACAAAGAGAACCAGATAAGTCAATACATTTCAGTTGCAACCATCAATATTAATGATCTCAATTCATCATTCAAAAGAAACAGACTGGCAAAATGGATCAAGAAACAAGATCCAACAATATGCTATATACATTCAGACTGAAAGTCAAAGGATGGAAAACAATACTCCATGTGACAGGAACCCAGAAAAAAACAGGGATAACTATTCTATTTGCAGACAAAGTAGATTTTAAGCCAAGACTGGTTATAAGAGTCAATGATCACTACATCCTTATTAAGGGAACAATCCAAGAAAAGATGGCAATCATAAATATATTTGTACCAAATACAAGCATACCCAACTATATAAAACAAATATTAATGGACATGAAAAAAATCAAATAAACACTAATACATTTGTAATGGGGACCTCAATATCCAGCATCACAAAGAGACAGATCCACTAGACCAAAAAAATCAACAAAGAACTATCAAAATTGAACCAAACATTTTGACAAATGGGCTCAGTAGAGGTTTATAGAGTATTCTACCCCTCAACATCAGAATACAAATTCTCAGCTGCACACAGGATATTCTCCAAAATAGACCACATACTAGCTTATAGAACATGCTTAAGTAAATGCAAGGAACTGAAATTATCCAACGCATGTTATCAGATCATAGTGTAAGGAAACTGGAAATCAATGGCAAAAGAAACCATAAAAACTTCAGAAAAAAAAAAAGGAAATTAACCCCTCCTAAGCAACTGATGGTACCAGAGGGCAATCAATCCTTCAATTGCCTAGAAGGGGGGACAGTGAGGGCTAAAGAAAGACAATAGAGGTATTTGTAATTTCAAAGTATATGAGGAGGGCCGGGGATTTAGCTCAGTGGTTCCACCGTCTGGCTCGCAAGCACAAGGAGCCGAGTATGATCCCCGTACCAAAACAACAACAACAACAACAAAACAAAGTATATGAGGAGCCGGGAGATCAGTTTCTCTGAGTGGGCAAAGACAAAGACACTCCAAACTTGCCATTACTTATTGTGTTCATAGGGAGTATCAGATAACTCAGAGGGTGGCAATAATCCTATGATGATGAGGATCTTATAATCAGAGGAAGTATCAGATGACTCTGGATAGTAATCCCATGAAGATGAGGATCTTAGGTAGATGAGGAGCTTCGGTTGATTAGGATGTGAGATGAGCAAAACATTCTTACAACAGTAGTAGGATGAGTTAAGCTGATAAGGAATTGTTCCTCTTCAGGTGAGACCTTTTTGTGTTACTACTTGTTTCTCAAAGAACTATGAGGTCTTCAACTGATGTAATCTTGCCCTTGAGCATCACAGCATCACTCGACTATTGAGGCTCAGATAGCCCTAATCATAATTTAATTGTGAAATGATTTTTTCCAAAAAAATTATGTAGAATGGCTCCTGACACAATGAGTCACAGATGAAACTAAAGAAGAAATTAGACAGTTTCCATAATTAAATGATAATGCCAATACAACATACTGGAATTTGTGGGACACAATGAAAGCAGTCCTACGAGGGGAATATACAGTGGTGAATTCCCATATCAGAAAAACAGAGTGCGCTCAAATAAATAACCTAATGTTGAGCCTGAAGCTTTTAGAAAAAGAAGAGCAAGTCAAGCCCAAAACTCAAATAAGGGAGGAATTATAAAGAAATTAATGCAACTGAGCCCAAGAAAACACTATAAAGAATAAATGAATCAAAGAGTTAGTTCTTTGAAAGATTTAAAAATAAAATTGACAAATCCTTAGCCAACCCTATCAAAAAAAGGAAAGAAAAGACTCAAACTCATGCAATTAGGAATGAAAAGGGTGAAGTCACAACAAATCCTGCAGAAATCGAGACCAGTACCTACTTCAATAACCTGTACTGTAAAAAAAAATCAAACAAACAAAAAAACCCCTGTATTCTTTAAGATGGAAAACAGAAAAAAAAAAAGAGATTCCTAGATACATATGAATTGCTAAAGCCAAATCAAGAAGATATAAAAATTCTAAATAAACTCAGGCCAGGGATTTAGCTCAGTGGTGCTACCACCTGCCTCACAAACATAAGGTCCTGAGTTCAATCCCTGGTACCAAAACAAACAAGCAAACAAACACTAATATCAGTCAATGAAATTGAAGATGTCATTGAAAATCTACCAACAAAGGAAAGTAGAATTCATTACTGAATTCTACAAGAAATTTAGAGAAGAACTACTGCCACTACTTCTCAAACTCTTTAATGATGAAAATGTTCAAATAAGAAGCGGAACAAGGGAAGGAGGGGAAAAAGAGGAGGAGAGGGGCAAGAAAAAAAGAATAGAGGGCCAAGGATTTAGTTCAGTGGTTCCACCACCTGTTTTGCATGTGCAAGGTCCTGAGTTGGATCCTGGTACTGAAAAAAAAAAAGAATACAGGGCCAGGGATTTAGCTCGGTGGTGCCACCACCTGCCTCACAAGCCCAAGGTCCCAAGTTCAATCCCTAGTACCAAAGGGCGGGGGCAAGAAAAATAGACATAAAGCTTTTGTAAATCATGGGAAGAATGGTTGAAGGGAGGGGAGGGGAATGGGAAAAAAGAAGCAAGATATATCACACACAGGTATAAATTCCCTATGATGAATGTTATCATTATGTATATCTAAAATGTAACAAAAAATAATTACATTAGAGAAAAGAAAAAAAGCCAAATACTTTGCACTTGGACATTAGGAAGCCTTTTAGGGATAGGCCAGACTTTACTCATGAATAGCTCAAGGGTACAAGCGTACAAAGCTGTAAACTCTTTTGAACGAATGATTCTGCTTTTTTTTTTTTTTTTTTTGGTACCAGGGATCAAACTTGGGACCTTGAGCTTTCAAGGCAGGCAGTGGAATCACTGAGCTAAATCCCTGGCCCTTGATTCTGCTTTGAGAAGAGCTCTTGGGGCACTATGTATGCTCCACCAAGGCTGCCTGGAAATTTTTTCCCCAGGATTTGTTTACCATCCTCAGCCATCCAGGCACTCAGGGGCTGCTGTAGCTGTGGTCCAAGAGGCCCTGGCTACTGCTTCAGCTGGCTTGACATCACCATATGATGCTGGTTTTGCAGGCATGCAGAATATGAGAGTTACAGTGTCATGGAGGCCTCCACTGAGACTTCATAGGCAGCCCTGGGAGGCCAGGTAATGTATGGCAGGGTCAGAGTTCCTGTGGGCAGCCCCTGAAAGGGCCATGTGTGAAGCTTGAGCATGAACCCAAAGCCACAGCAGGGAGCCTAGGAAGTTTAGAGATCCCAGGAACATGGAACACCTGCCAAGGAATGCTACAGGCAGTGAGAACAGCCAGTCCAAGAGAGACTGTGGGCCATAGGGGCAGGGCTGCCTAGGCCCTTTGCAGCTCATATCATGTACCATGTGCCCTGGATAACAGAGGTGGAGCCACAGGGCATACTGTTTGTCCCGCTGTGTTACAATCTGGCTTTGGTCCAATTCCTGTTTCTCTACTCCTTCTATTCTGAATAGGAATGTTTCACATTTGCCAGTCTTTCTTGGGAGTATGACTTCCTTTTTAAACTTTAGAAGGGCTCACAGCTAAAATTTGCCTTGAGTCAGAGGAGACTCGACTTGGACTTTTGAGAAATGCCGGAGTAGTTGAGACTTTGGTGATGCTTGGAGATGGCGTAAATGTACTCTGGATTAAGAGAGGTACATGACCTTTTGTGAGCCAGGAGTAGAAGGTTACAGTTTGAATCTAAACTACCCCCCAACCAGGTGTGGTGGCACACACCTGTAATCCTAACACTCTGGGAGATTGAGGAGGGGAATCACAAGGTCAAGCCTACCCTGGGCAACTTAGTGAGACTCTATCTCAAAATTAAAAAATAAAAAAAGAGCAGGGGATATATCTTAGTGCAAGTGCCCTGGCCTCAGTACCAAAATTTTTTTTTTTTCTAAATCTCTCCCAAAAGGGCTATGGGTTCAGAGTCGGGATTTTTAGAAGGTGTTTTGGACCATCAGAGTTCCTTCCCTCTGCTTTCCCTCCATCTCTTAACTCATCTATGAGATGAGCAGCTACTCTTCCCCACACTCCTCTGTCATAGTATTCTGCCTCGCCAAATGCCAAAAGCAATGGAACTAGCCAACCATGAACTGCAATTCTGAAACTGTGAACCAAAATGAACTTTTCTCCTTGTTTATCTCAGGTATTTTGTCACAGTGACAGAAGATTAACACCCCATACATACCCTGTTCCTTTCTCAGTTCACTCCCCACCTTGCTTTTGCCCCTTGCGCTAGTGCCCATTTGAGGCTGAAGAACATTTGTGAACATTGTTTACTGGCTGCCTTTCTCTGTCATCAGCCCCACAAAACAGGACCAAGAGTGCCTGAAACAAGCTTGGTCATGTTAAGCGCAAAAGCAACATGTGAATACAGGAATGAAGGAACATGGCATTGGAGGGTTTGGGTCAACACAACAAAGCCTAGTATAGGGGTTACTCTGAACAGGTCTCTCAAAGGCCTGGCAGTGACTTCCTGTGTGAACAGCTCCTGTTCTTTTGGAGCTCCTGCCTTTACTTTAGGGTAGCCAAGGCGGTACCCTTTAGGGGGTAGCTGATGAAGGCAGGGAAGAGACAGGAGGCAGATTAGTATGCCTGTGAGACCAGGAGGGGAGACAGAGATTGGCCCTGACTTGGCCACAGATTGATCCTGACTTTACCCAACCATGAGCCCACACTCACCCAGGCCCAGCGTCCTGTAAGCATTCCTGCCCAGGATGGAGTCCTTCCCACTGGGAACCCAAGGTTCCTCACCACGCTGCAGCTGGATGATCACACGAGGTGGGGAGGAGAAAAATCCTAGAAGGAGAAAGATCAGGTGAGAGTCCAGTAGCTGCTCAGGACCAGCCACCCCTTAACATGTAGCAGGAACCAGGGCTACATGGAAACAGATGGTGCCATCTGTACAACCAGCAGCAACTGTATCAGCAGTAGCACAGGAAGGGGACAGAGCCGGGTACAGGAGGCTGTAGCCAGAGAGGGACACAGAAATAGGTGAGCCACCCAGACAACATCTCTGGGGCCCCAACCTTGTCTCACTTGGCCCCTGGCCAGAAGACCCTACTCATGGGTAGGTAGCCAGGGAGGTAGGAGCTATCCTGATGGCCCATTCTGATACCAATGTCACTTCCCATGAGGACCCAGGGCTTTACCCAGTGAGGCCACAAGTGCGAAGTTCTCCAGCATCACGTGGCGGTATAGGGCCCTCTGGCCCGTATCCAGGAGCACCCATTCCTCCCGGGAGAAGTACACGGCCACATCCTCGAAGGCCATCAGGCCCTGCAACAGCAGGCAGAAGGAGACAGTCTGAGGCATGGCACTGTGACACAAGACCCAGCTATTCCTCCATCAGATCCTCCCCTGAAGTCTCTGGCACTCCTCTCCCTTCCTGGTCCTACCCAGACCTACCGCAGATGGCATTTCCCCATTCCTACCCCTGCAGGCCACAGGCGCTCTCCCTTATCATCTCTACCTCAGCAAGGGAGGCCCTGGGCTAGAAACACACCAAAAGTAGCCCCAGATGTCCACTCAGGCCCCAGCATGAACTCTACAAGGGTCCCTACCTGTACCTGCAACAAGCCACAGTTTAAGTCCTTGTCGACCCCCCATGCCCATTCCAAGGGTACACCCCCGCTGTGTCTGCCTGACATTTCAATGCTGTTTTTCCAGTCTGATAAACTGGATAATCACACCCAGCTGCCACAAGAAGTGGCCCCAAAAACCTGGGGGACACACAAGAAGTCGATCCCTTCCTCCCTCCCCAGCACTGCTCCATTTCTTGTCCACTCTGTGGCTGCCCTCCCCACCTCCAGCCACCTGACAGGTCCTCCACCGACAGCCCTGGGAGTCCTGGCCATTCTCGCTCTTGTTGCCTCTCAGTTCTGACTACCCTCGGTCCAGTCCATGGGGTCATCTTCTCTTCAGTCCAATTCCCAGACCCTGCTTGGCCTAGAACACTGGAACTCTCAATTGACACCAAAGGTTCGTATCCTCTGACACCTCCACTCTAGGACATCACAGACTCCTGATCTTTGCCCTGAAAGAAATCACCTTTCTCTTCCAATTCTTGTTCTGTCCATAGCAATTCCATTCTTCCAGGCACCCAGGCTGAAAATCTTGGGACAGTTCTTTACTCACAACACTCGGTCACACCACACACCTCACACATAAGCAGATCTATCCACAATCCAACTATTTTCCCCCACCACTACTCCATTTGATTCAGGAGTTATCATTGCCCACCTGGACTACAGAAAGAGCCTCCCTTCACACTCCTGTTCTCCACTCAGCAAAAGGTGGGATACTTTTTTTTTGCGGGGGGGGATACTTTTAAAATTCTAACTGGCTAGGCTTGGTGGCATATGCCTGTGATCCCAGCACTCTGGAAGGCTGAAGCAGGAGAATCACAATTTCTATTCCAGCCTGTGCCATATAGCAACTAACTTAGCAAGACTATCTTGAAATGTAAAAGACAGATATAGATATAGATATATTGCTATGGGCTGGGAATGTGGCTGAGAGCAAAGGCCTTCTTGGGTTCAACCTCCAGTACCGAAAAAATTTTTTTCAACCAAGAGGACGTCCAGCTTTCTGTTCCAAACCGCCAAATCGTCAGGGCAGCTCCTGACGCCCCAATTTCGCAGTCCCGTCTGTACACAAGATCCCTCTCCCCGCGCTCTAGAACGAGAAGAGCCGAGGGTCAGCCTCTCCCTCGCGGGTATCGGCGTGAGACCTTCAGCTTCCGAAAGGCAGACGTGGGACTCCCGCACATGCACGCCTCCCTGGCCAGCATTGCAGAGGCCGAACGAGCCACCTCCCTATCCCGGGCCGCCAGGGATCACGGTAAGCTCTTCCTTCCAGGGGTCTTGAGTCTGTAGGGTGTTTGCTCTTACCCGCGCCGGATCCGTCAGCGCGCCAGTAGCCGCCATGGGACCTGGGGCTGGGGCCGGGAGGAAGCG